CTGGTGGGAGGTGTCCCTGCCCATGGCAGGGGGGTTGGAACTCGGTGATCTTCAAGGTCCTTTCCAACCTAAACCATTCTATGATTCTATGATTCACTGGAGTTGAAGAAACGGCTTGAACTCCAGCTTGGTCTTTCATGTTTACCAGGAACTCCATGCAGGACTAGCAGATTTCTATTAATAAGACGACACACTGCGAATAAAAACAAATGGAAGATGTACGATGCCTTGGCTGCAAGTATTTTATTGAATTGAAAACCGTGGATCATTTGTGCTGGAGCGAACCAGGAAGAAGAGTTACAGGGTGTCTGCTAAGCACTTCTGCATCGTGTTATCACCCAAGGCCAGAAAGTCAAGTATTGTAGCTCAATTTAGAAAGGAAATGGATATTTTTATGACCAATAACAACACGTGGCCAAACCCAGGGTGAACACAACAGACTGTAAGCTGTGCTTCCTCTGCACTGGCCACCATAGACTTTTCTGTTCTCACTGCACAAACAGTTCTTCAATTTTTTCCCTGCCGTGCCTGTGACAAATGGATGGGGTGTAGACACTTACCTGGCTGCATAGTCATGTGTGCTCCCACCACAAAGCCGTCTCAGAAGCCACTGGCAACTCTTCCTTTGCTCAGGGGAGTGGGGCTGGGGGCTGTGCCACCAACTGGAGTTTCTCCAGGGGGGTGTAGGGAGACCGTGAGCCCCGTGAGCAGCCACCAAAACCACCATGAAATGGACCCCACAGCTCCACAACAGAGATCAGTCAGTTGGAGAGAAAAGGACCTGCACTCCAGTCTGCATCCTGGACATGTATATCGGGGACTTCAGTCAAAAACCCAGGTGAGAAGTGAAATGCTGTCTCCTGTGACCTCCAGCCCAGGAGGAAACTGTACTCTGGGGGACCAGGATGTCTTCAATGGCTCCAGCAAGTTCTGCGAGAGCCCCTTCAACTCCCATACCTACCTGGCAGCCTAAGAAGTATCTCTTCACCATGGGTGAGCTCCAGCCAGAGGCTCACAGGTGAGTCCCAGAGCAGGAGAAAGATGGTAAAAATGATCCAGGCTCTCACATTCAGTTTGTGATTCTTGAGTGATCTGCAGCAGGGACCCTGTCACCCACGCAAACGGTTTGGTTACAAGGACCCTGTGAAGCTACACAAGAAGACCATGTTGTTTCTTTTGTGCAAACATCGGGCTGTGCGAGGTGTTTTACAAGATAAGAGACAATTTCTGCCATAGACAGAGCATGAACTCTCTGAATGGCCCGGGCAAGGGTGAAAAGGGGAACCTAATGATGTGTCTCTTGCACAACAACCAAGATACTCCTTTCATGTCTTCCCTAGGTGCCAGGTGGTCTTTCCAAAGACCACTGGAATGGTCTTTCCAATTCTCAAACAGAAAGTCCCAGACCTCCATTGCCAGTCTTTGCTACTGCTTTCCCATGCAGCCTTGGTCCTGTTACTTCACCCCCATCTTCTCTCTGAAAATTCATCTGTGCAGGTGATGTCTGGTCTTCTGTTGGTGTTGAGTTCATCTGCATTACCACCGTGTTTGCAAGTGGTTTGAGGGGCTAGAGGGGAGGTTTTGGTGGTATTTCTCAGTTCTCCACCTAGCAGATGTGGAAATATCCCCGTGGCTGCAGCATAAAACTTTCTCCAGGCAGTAGCTGTGCACTGGGACACCATAGCAAAGCAGAAAGTCCATCATCTGGAAACCTGGAGGCAGGGCCAGGGGGTGAGACAGGCATGGAAAAATCAGCAGGTGCTCAGGGGAGAGAGGGAGAGCAAAGGAAAACCAGTCAGAGGGCAGAGCTGCGGGGAGCAGCAGCAGCATGGAGAAACTCAGGTGGCTTCTCTGATGTCTAGTAAAGTCAGAGCTCCAGCTGAGGCTTTTCCCATCATCCAGGCATTCATCACAATGTGGATTTTCTCATGTCGAATAAAAGATTAAGCATAGCACACACTATGGGCTTTCCTGAATGTCTTTAAGAACCTGGGTTAAAATCAGAGCCGGACAAGAAGATTAGCTGAGATGGAAAAGCAGAGCAGAGAGAAGGAAAAGGAGGGAGAACATGTCACCACACAGGGGTTAAAGACCTAGAGCTTCTCAAGTAAGGCTCTCCTACCCTCTTCTTTCTCCCGTGCCATATTAACACCCCCGTCTGCATGACTCTGGCTCACCCAGCAACTCTGTGTGTGCAGGTCTCAGCCAGGG